AAAGAGTGGAAACTGTTTTGGCCACACAACTGTCTTGGTGAAACTTTTCGCTGAGCATAACAGCAAAGTAAAATTTTATAATTACTAGAAGCCCCAGAACTCTCAGAAAAAAAAGCGAAGCGATTAAATTGAAAATATTGGAAGAAGTTATAAGTAAACCAAAACAATAAAAAGCCCCATGTAAAACAAATACAATTTGCAAAACCACACTAAACAATTATTGAAGATAAGGAAGACATAAAATGCTTGATAATCAAACGTGTCAAAATCATTTTATGATATGATAACAGAAATAACAATGTAAAAAAATGAAAATAAAAACAAGCACTTACAACGCGACAAAGATCACGCCAAATACGATGTAAGTGAAGAGCCCATCTTCTCAGATGATAATCTTCTATATTCAAAAAACTTGACGGAAATGAAACCCAATCCTCCGGATAATGTTCCACCAGCTCAAATCCAGGAGGATCAAAATGATCATCCACAAATTTTTGTAAAACAGTTCGATTATTCACCGTTTCGCCAAGTTCATAAAAGTCTTTTAAAGTCGAAACTGAAAAGTGTTTTCATTTGTACAAGCGAAAAAAAAGGAAATATGCTGAAGCCATTCTGTACATTATTAAATTTTTCGATATTCAACGTACAAAAACGCTAGTTAATTAATGGAACACTTTAGAACCCTCCACCTAGCAGTAGTTACCAAAGGCTGTCACAAGTAGGCTTTACTGTACAGACTTTATTATTTACCTGGATCATGTTTAAGTGGCATATCTACAAAGTATTTAGAATCCGGATACAATTTTGCATCCTGAACAGCTTGAAGTATTGGGCCATTGCAGTAAATTTCACTACAAGTATACAAATTAGATGTAATGTAAATTAATTGGCGCCCAGTTTCAAATGATAAAATTAGAAGTTAATTAATACCTTAGTAATGTTATGACGTAGTATAGCATGTTGTGAATTAAAACAATATTACGACCGCCGAAGTACTGGGCGAAAAGAAAAACCGGCCCAAAGCCTGAAGTGCCGATGCTTTTCTAGTATGACGAGCCTTCTCTTGATCTATATAAAAAAAATAAAATTTTAAACAGAAAAAAAAAAAACAATACAATAACATCACCAAATCAGGCAAAATGAGTCACTCAAGATACAATAAAAAGTCACTGACATATCAAACAGTTAAGGTAAGGACCGGCATTGACTACGACAAAAGTAATAA